CCTTTGAACAACATAATGTTTTGGCACTTACCCATTTGTACCACTTATATTCCACTGACAAATTTCCATCATTTACCCATTTATTTCCTCCATCAGACTGTAAGCTCTTTGATGCAAGTGCTTGAAATATTTTGTGTTTATATTTCCAGCAGCACGTGTGCCTGACATATAATACGTGCTTAAGGCAAATGCGTGTATTTAATGTATGCTCAAGCTAAGAGGAGAGAGCACTGGAAACAAAAGATGATGGGAATGGAGAAGCAGAGAGATGTTTTCGTCCACTGATAGGCAGAGGAGCAGAGTTCAGGTGGAAGTGCCAAGGACCCTCAGGAGCAGAACAATGCCAGGGAAAGCCTTAGGTCTTTCTCAATTGGGGTAGATCAGCCCTCTCCCCAGCATCGCTGATCTCAGGAAGTGCATGGCCATGCAGTTGGCAAGCTGCCCATCTCCCTTCCCCGTCTTCCTAGGAATCCCTAGAAGGGAAGGTGGCTTTGTCACGGAGGGTGGGTGAGTGGGGACTTGTCTTGAGCACAGAGTCAGACCAAGTTTGAAGAAATGGTTCCTTTTAAATTAAGTGCCAACTTAAAAGAAAGACCTCTGGGTTTTTTGTTGGTTGGTTGGGTATTTTGTTTTAATTTGCTTTTACATTTTTTTTCAAACAGCAAGAAGTTTATTATCTACCATGACGAGAGGCCCAGAGCCAGACGGTTCCAGAAGTGGGCGGGCCGGCTGCTCGGCTACGTCTTCAGGAGAAAGGTTCTTCCTATGTTGCCTCCCGCCACTCCTGGGAGTCATGTCTACTTAGGCTCGATCCTCTTATGGGGACTAGATGGCTGCTGCAGGTCATTTAAAAAAAATACACGAGGACTTTTTCTTACAAAAGTGTGGGGAGTCCTTGAAGGGAGGGGGAACGAGGAGTTGTTTAATGGGTATCGAGTTTCAGTTTTGCAAGATGGACAGGGTTCTGGAAATTGGTTGCACAGTCATGTGAATGTGCTTAACACTATTGAGCTGTACACTTAAAAATTGTTAATGTGGTAAGTTTTATGATATGTGGATTTTATCACAATTTAAAAATGTGAAAAATACATTGGGAGCCTTGACTGCTTGCCTTTGAGTGGCTTTTAAATCCAGAGACCTTATTCCTGACCTGTCATCTAGAAAGCCAAGCAAGCAATAAGCAGAAATGCTACCTGTCAGTCAGGGACTGAAAGTTCCAGAACTCAGCAGAGAATCACCAATGCTTAGGACCACCCCTGACCCATGGTGAGGGCTGGTAGCTTGCATTTCTGAATGTTTTCAATTTGAGAGAAACACACTGACTAGACACTGGCTAGCCAAGGCTTTAGTTCTTTGGTGTAAAGCTAAAGACATTTCTAGAAAGGCCAGGGCAGGGTTTCCAACCTCAGCGCTATTAAGATTTGGTGCTGGATAAGTCTTTGTTGCAGGTCTGTCCAGTGCACTGGAGGATGCTAAGCAACATCCTGGCCTCTACCCACTAGATGCCAGTAGTACCACACCCCAACCACAGCAACCAAAAATGTCTGCAGACGTTGCCAAAAATCTCCCGGGGGACAAAATTGCCCTGGTTGAGAACTGCTTGGCTGGAGATGACCATGCTGTTCACAAACCACAAGGATCTCAATGCCCACTTCTCCAACATTGGCTTCTCCTACTGCAGACACTGAGCAAAATTTTCTTGTTTCTAGAATAAAATGAAATGAAAAAGAAAAATATTTAAGCTACCATTTATGAAATATTTACCATGTGCCAGACACTGCGCTACTTCATTATCTCATTTAATCTTTTCAATAATTCTCTGGTGTGATTATTAGTAGCCTCACTTTACAGATAAGGAACATGGGTTTAGAGAAGCTAAGTGCTTGTCCCAGCTCAGGGAGCCAGTAAATAGCGAAACCAGTATTCCCACATGGGTCTGTCTCCTTTTATGATTGCCTTTGTATTTATTTATTTGTTTTGTCTCTTTCAGCTTAATTTATATAATGATCGTCATTTATGTAATGATGTTTCAGAGGACTTTTTAGCCATATACGTGCTCATGCCTGCTTTATTTTATAATTCCCTTGATGGGTGGCACGTAAAGATGTTGTCTGTGAATCTCAAAGGTGGGGAATGTGGTGTTGACCACTTAACAGCTCTGACTCCAAGATAAAGTCTCTATGAATTAGGAGATGAGTACATTTCTGCATCCATGACAAGGCAGCTGGTCAAGGGGCCCAACATCCATCCCCTTCTCAGTTGTAATAACGCTAAAATGTCCCTTAACCAGCAGAGGGCAGACCTGTGGTCCCAATCGACAGCAGTGGGCAAAGAAAACTGTTCCTGAGGGTTTGGGATAGAGAAGGGGAAAGGTTTCCGGAAAATGGCAGCCACATCACTTGCTTCTCCAGAGGTGGGGCCATTTTTACATTTTTGTGGACTGTGTATTTAATTGTCCCGTTCTTTTAAAAATGTACAACCTCCTTCCAACAGGATAACGTGAAGTTAAAAGACCACCTTAGCTTTACTGTCCTCTTCCAGACTTTTGATTATTAAGCTGATCTTGGTCTGTAAGTGTTACAGAGCAAAAAAATTTTCTGCTGTGAAATACCGTTAAGGAGGAGAAGGTTTTCCTCTGCATCCTCCTTTTTGATAGGTTTACAGGGGCTCGGTGCCTTGACTGCAATGTGGGACCATGTGTTCAGACCTCGGCATGCTACCAAGGCAGGACACTGAATCCAGAAGGTGATGGATGTATTAAAAAAGGACGGTCAAACCAGTCCTTATTTCATGAAGAAGGAAATTACCCAGAGAATCTTTAGCCAAAGTTCTGTCCAGGCTGATCAATTTACCCAAATCTTCTCTTTTACATGCTTACCTGTGTGGAAATCCTGAGATAGATTAACAAAAAACTTCTCCAAGTTTGTCAAGTTTCCTGGAGAAACAGGCTCTCGCCCGCTGCCTGGCCCTTCTGTGAGCTCCTCATAATTAGTTATGTGTCTGGCAGAGCCACATTCATCATGATAAGCTGTTCATATAGAGGCTGTTCCTTTCCTGTCCGTGTCACCGCCAGCATTTCTATAGGGTCAAGCATTTTCAGAATCTCTACTGAGTTGGAGTGGTGGAGAGTGGTAAGTATTAGAAGCATTTCTTTCCCTTTCTTACTCTTCTGTACTCCTCACTTCCAAATGCGTCTGATTATGTTTAAAGTTGAAGGCTGTTGCTAAGCCTAGGACAATGGTCATTCGGGAAAAATCCCAAGATGTCACAGATTATGTTTGTTTGATAAAGGAAGACGAAAGTTCCCACTCTGAGCAATAAATTTCCTCCAGAAACAGCCCACCTATTGGATTCGTGTGTTTCATGTGGTGTTAGAGCAATTAGTTCCTTGCAAACAATACAAAGGGACAAAAGTTTCAAGGTTTGGAATCACCATAGCAACGCCTCAGAGTCCCTGCCTTACCCAGGTCTCAGAGTGATAGGAACTGGTCATGCCATTCCTTTGAAATTGGCCAAAGCCTTAAAACCCACAGACTGACCCATTTGGCCTCAGAATGTGAACTTTTGCAGCTACTAGGGCGAAGTCTCCTGTTGAGTGGGTATAGTGGGTGGAATAGTAGCCCTCAAAAAAGACATGTCCAAGTCCTTATCCTTGGTACCTGTGAATGTGACTTTATTTGGGAAAACAGGCTTTGCAGATGTAATTAAGATCTCATGATGAGATCATCCTGGATTCAGGGTGGGCCCTAAATCCAATGACGGTGTCCTTATAAGAAAAAGGCAGAGAGAGATTTGGGACACAGATGCACAGGGAAAGGAGTCTGAGTGAAGATGGAGGAAGAGATTGGAGTAATATTGCCACAAGCTGAGGAACTCCAGGAACCACCAGAAACTGGCAGAGGCAAGGAAGCATTCTCCCCTAGAGCCCTCAGAGGAAGTGTGGCCCTGCTGACACCCCAATTTCAGACTTCTCGCCTCCAGAACTGTGAGACAATGAATTTCTCGTGTTTTTTTTTTTTTTTTTAAGGAAGATTAGCCCTGAGCTAACATCTGCTACCAATCCTTGTCTTTTTGCTGAGGAAGACTGGCCTTGTGCTAACATCTGTGCCCATCCTCCTCTACTTTTTTATATATGGGACGCTTACCACAGTGTGGCTTGCCAAGCGGTGCCATGTCTGCACCCAGGATTCGAACCTGTGAACCCAGGGCCGCCGAAGCAGAACACGCAAACTTAACCGCTGTGCCACTGGGCTGGCCCCTCAATTTCTGTTTTTTTTTTTTGTTTTTTTTTTTTTCATAAATTTTTTTTTTTTAAGATGTTATTTTTTCCTTTTTCTCCCCAATGCCCCCCAGTACATAGTTGTATATTCTTCGTTGTGGGTCCTTCTAGTTGTGGCATGTGGGACGCTGCCTCAGCGTGGTTTGATGAACAGTGCCATGTCCGCACCCAGGATTCGAACCAACGAAACACTGGGCCGCCTGCAGCGGAGCGCGCGAACTTAACCACTCGGCCACTGGGCCGGCCCCTCAATTTCTGTTTTTTTAAGCCACTCAGTTTGTGGTCATTTGTTATGGCGAGCCCAGGAAACAAATACTGTGGGTGACTTCTGCTCCCTGCATCCTGTCCCTCTCTGTGCTTGAGTTATAGCAGAGAGCCCTTTACCATTGACTGAAGAACACACTTTTTTCTTAAGAAAAGAAAACGAAACAAAAAGGTGAAGCAGTTTTTGGATGGGCCACCAGCCAGCCAGATCATCAGGATCAACCCAGGGTCAGCGGGCTCTGCTTGGGGTACCCGTGCGCATCCTGGATATCTTAAGAGCATCACTCTTCCTAGCAATAGCTCTGGGGACAGCTCCTTGGTTTTTCCATCTTTTCCTCCACCAGAAGCTCATTTGAAAGCCAGTTTTATTGCTACTACTCCTTTCTCACTCTGGTCAGAATCTTCTTTTTGTGGCATCATAAATGGTTTCCATGGAAATGAAAGGTTGAGATAGAACAGTGCCAACGTGCATGTGAACTTCAGAATTAAACAAGGGCTATTGTTTTTGCCTGGGAGCTTCATTCATTCTGAAGATGTCACAGGGAATTTTGGAATGTATATCCATAACTTCCTGAATTTCTCCCACATTCCAGCCCACCTGGTAAGGAGCCTGGAGCGACATGGCAACACCCCAGATCTGTATGTCCCTTGCTCTTCAGACTGTCTCTTAGTTTTGGCATGTGTGTGTAAATGTCAACAGGTGAGGTGAGATTTGCTGTAAATAAGCAGATGGTCCCCACAGGGTAGGCTGTAAATGAGACAGAAACTCTAGCAGGAGATATCACAGCCAAAGACTTTACCAGTCTAAACTCATCCTTTGTTTAGTGCACAAGAACCAGTGAAGGGAAGAGGAAGGCAGACCTGAGGCTACATGCCTGCTCTCGTGACCCCGATGACAGGGCCTGGAATTTGCACCTGCTTCCTACCAGTATCAAAGGCACAGGCTCATGTGATGTGCACAGACTTCTTCATGATGGTTTAGTCAGAGGGAGAAGCACGCTGGAACCAATCCTCTAGCTGGCTCCCAGCGACTGAGATGTGCACATGGTGGACAGGCCCAGGTGGGGATTCTGAGTCGCTGAAGCTCTGCGCCCTCACTTTACAGGAGATGCCACCTGGTAATTCTTACTTCAGAGTAGGTGGGGTGTAGGTGGGGTGACCATATTGCCACCCAAACTGGAGCACTTTTCAGAGTGAAAGGAGTCATAGGCACAATAGGCAAAGGACCATAGGCATAATCTGGATTATCCCCGGAAAAGAGGGGCATCTGGCCATCCCAGGTTTACACAGCTCCACTATAGATCTCATTGTGGAAGTGCCCGGGACTCAGCGGTTGGATCTCTTCTTTCTTATATCTTACATACTCCCTAGACCAGTGCAGTCCAGTGGAATTTTCTGCCGTGATGGAAATGTTCTGTATCTGTGCTCTCCAATACAATAGCTACTGGTCAAATGTGGCTGTTGAGTACTTGAATGTGGCTAGCGTGTTGGACAGTGCAGACCTAGATGGTTTCAGCCAGTCTCATGGCTTTAAATACCATTTTTAGGAGGCTCTGACTCCCAAATTTGTCTAGTCTCCCTAACCTCTCCCCTAAAATTCAGACCTGTATATCCAATTACCTATCTGCTAGCTTTCCTTGACTGTCTAGTGGGCATTTCAAACTTAACATGTTCAAAACTAACCTTCTGATCACAATAAGATACCACTTCAAACCTACTAGGATGGCTGTTCTTAAATAAACAAGCAGAAAATAACAAGTTTTGGCAAGGATGTGGAGAAGTTGGAACCCTAGTATATTGCTGATGGAAATGCAAAATGATACAGCTACTGTGGAAAATGGTAAGGCAGTTCTTCAAAAACTTAAACAGAATTACCATAGGATCCAGTAATTCTACTCCTAGGTATGTGTCCAAAAGACCTGAAAACAGGGACTCACACGGTTATTTGCACACACACGTTCATAGCAGCTTTATTTGCAAAAGCCAGAAGATGGAAGCAACCCAAGTGTCCATACATGGATGAATGAATAAACAAAATGTAGTATATTCATATAATGGAATATTATTCAGCCTTGAAAAGAAAGGTAATTTTGGCATGCTACAACTTGGATGAACTTAGGACATCATGCTAAGTGAAATAAGCCAGTCACAGAAAGACAAAAGCTGTATGACTCCTCTTGTATGAGGTTCCTAGAGTGGTCAAATTCATAGAGACAAAGTAGATTTCTAGGGGCTGGGGATGGGCAGTATTTAATGATACAGAGTATCAGTTGGAGAAGACGTAAAAGGTCTGGACATAGATGGCAGTGATGCTTGTACAACAGTGTAAATGTATTAAATGCCACAGAACTGTACACTTTAAAATGGTTAAAACGGTAAATTTTGTTATGTGTGTTTTACCGCAATGAAAAAAACACCTCTGATATTCCCTCAAAACCTGCTCCTTCTGCAGACTTCGCATCTCATTTCACACTAACTCTAGCTCTCCATTTGCTAAAGCCAAAGACCTCCTCTTTCTCTCATAGCACATGTTCGGTACATTGGTAAATCTTACTGCCTCTGCCTTCAAATACATGCATTCAGAATCTCACCACATCTCACACCACCCATAACGCTGGTCCACGGAGCATCCCGCTGCACACATCTCCATTGGCTTCTCATATCATTCCCAGCGACAGCCTGTCTTTATAAGGACCTGAATGCCCTGCCTCATCTGTCCCCTGCCATCATCTTGCTGACTTTATCACCCACCTGTCTCCCTGTTGTCTGCTCTGCTCCAACTGCACAGGCCTCCTCCTGTTCCTCAGACACCCCAGGGATGTCCCTGCCTCAGGGCCTTTGCCCTTGCTGTTTCCTCTGCCTGCAGTGCTCTTCCCCCCAAATCTGCATGGTTCACCCCCTGTCCCACATCTTAGGTATGCACCTATACCTCAGTGAGTCCTTCCCAGGCCACTCTGGAAAATTGCAGTGTCCTCTACCACTTCCTGTCCTCTTGCTTGCTTTAGTCTTTTCTCATTCACATGGATCACTAACATACTATATATTTTATTTACCTTGTTTATTTTCAGTCTTCCCCAGTAAAAGGTCTGATGTTTAAGGCAGAGGTTTTAAAATCTCTTTTGTTTCCTGGTTTTCCCACAGTGCCCAGATCAGACCCAACATATAGTTGGTGCTCAATAAATATTTGTTAAATTAATGAAGGAATGCAGACATTAGGGAATTGCTCAGCATCCATCTCTTTTAGCAAATTTTTGATTGATATATAACCAATCTAACCTCTTTATATGTGTTTAAGCTTGGCTTACATTTGACTCAAACCAGTAGTTCTCAACTAGGGGCAATATTGCCCCTAGTTGGGGACATTTGGCAATATCTGGAGACATTTTTGGTTGTCACAAGAGGGAGGAGGAGTGTACCGGCATCTGTGGTTGGCAGAGGCCAGAGATCTTGCTAAACATCCTACAATGCACAGGACGACTCCCCACAACAAAGAATTATCTGGACAAAATGTCAATTGTGCCAAGGTTGAGAAACCTGGATTTAACCTAGTCGTGTTCAGAGTTATCTAGTCTGCGTTAACAAGAGGTGAGTTCCTTGAGGGCTGTTATGGGTTGAATTGTGTCCTCCAGAAAAGATGCAAAGTCCTAACCCCCAATACCTCGCAGTGTGCCCTTATTTGAAAGTAGGGTCTTCAAAGATGTAATCAAGTTAAAATGAGGTCATCAGGGTGGCCCTAATCCAGTGTGACTGGTGTATTTAGAACAAGGGAAATCTGGACACAGACACACATAGGGAGAAGACCCTGTGAAGACAGAGGGAGAAGATGGCCACATGGCTGGAGTGATGCGGCTACAAGCCAAGGGACGCCAAGGATTGTTGGGAGTCACGTGGAGCTGGAAGAGGCAAGGAAGCATCCTCCCCTGGAGCCCTCAGGGAGAGCATGGCCCTGCCAACACCTGGATTTTGGAGATCTTGCCTCCAGACTCTGACAGAATAAATTTCCATTGTTTTAAACCATCCAGTTTTTGGTATTTTGTTCGGGCAGCCCTAGGACACTAACACAAGGGCAGAGCCGGTGCTAAATCCGAGCTTGATACTAATGGGGTCTACACCTGTGACAATTAAATTAGTTTCTTGGAAAAATGAGGTTTGACCAGATTGGTGGTTAGATCCTCATCTGGGAGGTGAGACAAAGGTATTCAGTCTTTTGGGTTTTATGAAACTCATGACCCGGGGTCGGCCAAGAGCATTTGTATAATAGATGTTCAAAGCCACCAGTCGCCAAAACCTTTCATGGGAAAATTACCCCAGCACAAAGTGTTTTTTGCTAATATTAACTTTGGTTCTATTTCAGATCAATGGAGGCAAAAACCAAGAGATCCCATAAATCCTGCTGCGCTCGTCAGAGCTGCCAAGGTACACCCTGATAGAGCTTCTGGTGGCTAATGATACGGCTGTCCACCCGGCGAGCATGTGGGCGGGAGGGGCTTTCTGGAGAGCATCTGGCCTACCGTGGAGACACTTGTCATGAGCATTATGTGAGGGCTCTTCGCCTCTAGTGAAGGGTGAAACCTTGAATGTGATTATTTCTAAAAAAGTAAATAATGAGGATAATTTAAAAATAAACAAAGATCTGGATTTAAAGGCTACTTACTGTCCCAGGACCAAGATTAATGGTGAGTGGCAAGTTTTCGTGAAGATCTCCTGTAGCCCGGTGAGCCGTGCTGGGATTCCAGAGAGATAATGTCTTTTCACGTATAAAAGATCCTATTGATTTCCTGTTAGTATTATCCCGAAAATGTGCAGTGTGTATCTATGGAGCAGAGACAATCTTCCATCACTTGCTTTATGGGAAGAGAATGGTTATTGTATCTCTTCCCATAAAATATAATCTCTTTTTCTCTTCCAAAATCTACCTGTCCCTCTGGGAATTTCCAGTTGTAATCTGTGGAAGTGAATTGATTTTTCTTCTCTTTTCTTTTTTTTTGGCATATGCTAGTATTTTTATATTTGGCTTCTCTCATTGTTCTCTGGAGTCTGATTGTTATTTAAGCTTGTCTAAAACTTCTTTTTTTAAGATCAGTCCCCTTGAAACACACACAGCATGGTGGAGGTCAGGCTCCCTGTGACGTGTTCACGTGGGAGAGCACCCTACCTTAGCCTCCGGCGGGGTGGGGGGACTCATGTTGGAGAATGTCCGGGAGGGCTTTGGAGGCCTTGCGAGGTTGCCTGGTATATTCCAACAAGATAAAAATGCACAAAAATCAAATCACTGAAGGAGGGAAGTTCTCTTCTTGAGGATTGGGGTTCTCAGCGTTACCCCTGAGCATTTCTTCAGGATCAATTAAGATACAAGGGCAAAGTCTCTACATTTAAATATCACACTCTGAGCAGCGGCTTCCTAAGCTAATGAGTTTGGCTGAGAAGACCCCAGCAAGGCAGTCTTGTCCAGACCTTACATGTGGAGGTCTGCAAACTGCAACTCCAGCTGCAAAGCCTGTCCTTGTGGTTCTGCCTTCACCCCTTTATTTTTATTTTATTTTATTTTTTGAGGAAGGTCAGCTCTGAGCTAACTACTGCCAATCCTCCTCTTCTTGCTGAGGAAGATTGGCCCTGAGCTAACATCCATGCCCATCTTCCTCTACTTTACATGTGGGACGCCTACCACAGCATGGCTTTTTGCTAAGAGGTGCCATGTCCGCACCCGGGATCCGAACCAGTGAACCACGGGCCGCCGAGAAGCCAAACGTGCGAACTTAACCACTGCGCCACCGGGCCGGCCCCCGCCATCACCCCGTTATGAATGCAGACCCTCCCTCTATTCCTCTGTCCCAAACCTACCCACCCTTCGAGGTACAACCCCTCCACAAGCCCCCTGCCTCGCTCTCTGCCCTCTACACAATTTTCTCTTTTTTCCCTGAACTCCTGTGGTACTTATGGATTGCACCATCCCAGCCAGCGTTTAATTACAACCACTTTTTATTCTCTTTGCTTATTGCATGTGCGTTATTTTACAGCACTGCAGCGGCCCCATGTCTTCATGCTTCACCCTATTCTTACTCTCTCCACTTCTGCACTATGCCTGGAGCCAACCAATTTATTTTGTACTATTACCAGATGATTTTTTCTTTAAAAGATTTTATTTTTTTCCTTTTTCTCCCCAAAGCCCCCCGGTACATAGTTGTATATTCTTCGTTGTGGGCCCTTCTAGTTGTGGCATGTGGGACGCTGCCTCAGCGTGGTTTGATGAGCATTGCCATGTCCGCGCCCAGGATTCGAACCGCCAAAACACTGGGCCGCCTGCAGCGGAGCGCACGAACTTAACCACTCGGCCACAGGGCCAGCCCCCAGATGATTTTTTTTTAAAAGCCTGAATGTGTATATGTATATGTAAATACATACATATATATATATATAACATAACAAATCTCAATGTTATGGGCTGAAATGTGTCCCCTCAACTTCATATGTTGAAGTTCTAACCCCTAACACCTAAGAATGTGACTGTATTTGAGATAGGGTCTTTAAAGAGGTAATTAAGTTAAAATGAGGTCATTGGGGTGGGCCCTAATCCGAAATGACTGGTGTCCTTATTAGAAGGGGAGATAAGGACACAGACACGCAGAGAGAAGACCATGTGAAAACACAAGGAGAAGATGGCCGTCTGCAAGGCCAGGACAGGGGCCTCAGAAGAAGTCAACCTGCCAACCCCTTGATCTTGGACTTGTAGCTTCCAGAACTGTGGGGAAATAAATTTCTGTTGTGCAAGCCACGCAGTCTGTAGCACTTCGTTTTGGCAGCCCTAGCAAACTACGATTCAATTAACTAGTCACAGAGCCCAGCGACACAAGACAAAGGCCAAATTTCTTAGTTTTATGTTCAAGACCTTCTATGTCCTTGTCCCATCCCACGTTCCCAATCTTTCTTCTTTCTTCCGTAATGGAACCCCCGGTCCACCCTATCTGGTTGACTCCAGGCTCCTCCCATCCCAGATGCCCTCCCATCCCTGCCCCATTGCCTTTACTGCATTCTCCTCCTGGAAAGTCCCACCTCCTCCCATACAGACCCAAACCAAGGCTGACCCAAGTCCAACTCTTCCCCGAAGCTCCAGTGATGTTCTATGAACTAGGAAAGAGACATGGAGGTTTGTTGTGGATCATGTAGTAGTTTTCAAATATGCTCCCCGGGACCCTCCCTCGGGATCCTGTGTGTAATGGTGAATGATGACAAGGGAAAAGGGTCAACCCCTCTCAGCCATCCACCAAGCAGAGCTGCCACTTTTTTCTGTGTGGTTTGTTTGTTTTTCCATATATTATTTAAAAAAGGCTTCTGTGGAATGGAAATGATGCTGGAGAGCACCACTGAAAATCCTATCCAGGAAGTAATGACAAAAAAATGTCCAAAAAAGTCATACGAAGCTAATGGTCCTTGCTCAGGAAACACTTAAGCAAACAAAGCCCATAACGCTTTTATCTAGATTTCCTAGAACTGTACTCATTGCAAGGGATAAACTCAATTATCAAAACTCATTGACTCCGAAAATGTAACTTCCATATACTACTGCCAGGCAACAGACATGTGGAGGTCTCAAACTGCAACTCCAGCTGCAAAGCCTGTCCTTGTGGTTCCAATTCCTCAGACAGGCAGCTGTTACACTGTTAATGCAATCACGGCTTGCCATGTTATTAATCTATTTTCTAAGTATGAAAGGATGGCAGTTTGGATTCTCTGATACAGATGTGGACATTTGCCAGGTCACATCTGTCCAGGGGGTTTGTTGAACAATGATTTCACGAAGAAATCAATTCCTGTTCCCTTCAGCTGACCTTAGGGCCATCTTCTCAGGCTTGTTTTCCTCTATTGCAATAAAAAAATTAAATTTCAGTCTTTATAATTTATGTAGTGCTATTTCTTTCAGAAGTTAATAGCATATCTTGTGTGTTAGCGAAGTCCCAATGAGGCAAGGAGGAGAAAGTCTGTAATTACATCCCTCTGAGAATTAAGCTAAGGTCCGTCTCCAAAGTTTGGAGCAGATTTCCTTGGACCTTCTTGCTTCAGAGGCCTGGCCAGAAGATTTCTCACCCATAGGACTTAGTGCTTTCTTAAACGAGCCTTTTAATATCAAATATTAATCTGTGAATCTACAGTGGATTTATAGAATGCTCATGGGATAAGTGGATCAGGAAAGTGTGGCTAAATCTTCCCCATAGAAATACACACCTTTTTCCTCATTCTCTGACCCTTCCAAACTGCCAACACACTCACAGCTTTTGAGTCTCAGATCCCTGGATATTTTCAGAGAAAAAGGTCAGTTTCCTTGGAATCAAGGTGAGGTTATTTATTCTGACACAGATGGATGTTATGTTGAGATGAGAAGCCCCTCGTTCTCTCTGAAGGTATAATTCTTTTTCTCATAAAATTCCATAACTAGATTCATAAGTCAGTATCATCTACTCTGATTACTCTGTTTCATCAGAGATTCCTGTGTGATAGATTTCCTATGTTTCTGATCAGTTACCATGGATATCGCTTTAGTGATCACAGTTCTCAGTAACTAGAGCTGTACTTTTGTGGGCTTCACCACTGTAAGAACTAATCTGTGCAAAGCTCTCAGGATAAACCTTGTTTGTTTGTTTGTTTTTAATTCTTTTTCATGGAAGTGGAAGGATTACAGATCCAGGGGAAACAGTAGGGAGGGGAACTGAAACAAATTTGCCATATGCTTGTTTATTATCAAACATTTGCATCTCATCTTCACTCACAGCATCAATTTTGAATGTGGTTTAAGCTTTGGAGACACTTCCCTCTGAGCTGGCTGAGTTTGGGGACCCTTTCAATCATTTCCTTCCTCTCCCTATCATGCTCATCACATCGCAGCATAATTACTTGTTTACCTGTCTTCTTCTCCCTTCCTCCAACCCTACTGTGAGGTCCTTGACAGGGACTGCAGTTCATTGTCGCATCCCCAAAGCCTGGCGGAGGGGCTTGGGGCACAGAGTTCCCAGTATGTGTTGAATGAATGAAAGGCTGTTTTCTTCTATTTCTCTGCTCCTACTCAGCTGAAAAGTGCAATTAAATCTAAGATCCCTTGTTTGAGACAGGGCTTTTCTGGTTGTAAGGAAAAAAACGCTCAAAGGCTGGGGGTGGGGGAGGAGAAGGCTATGCCCAAGCAAGGAACCCAGGAAAAGGTGGGTGTGCAGACTAGGAGTTACAGCATCAAGGGGGCTGTTCTGGATCCAGGGCTGCCCTGGGGACCTCCAGAGCAGGAGTGGGTGGGCTTCACTCTGGTGTTCTGGTATTAACTCGAGTCCGCAGGCTACTCAGGGCCTCTCTATTCCCTGCCCTCCCACTTCTCACCTTTTAGTCAACATCTTTTCTCTGCTCTAAAGCTTCTGCCTGTCCACGGTTCCTTCCCC